GGGGGGGGGGGGGGGGGGGCAACTCTCAGTGTAGACACGGCCATCATGACCGCATGTCATCCTCCACACATCATCCTTTTTTTTCACACGTGAACATGAGGCCTTCATGCCTGACAGTCCACGTCATGCTACACGCGTCATCTGCCGCGTCATCCTCAACATGAATCTGTCGAGGATCTACATTGTTTCTGTCCATGTTGTACTGGAGGATTCAGTTGCATTTTTCACAGTAAATTTTAAACAGAAGTAGGGCGAAACTCTGTTACTCTCAATCGTCTATCCACCACTGCGTTTACTGCCCTCAATTGACAAAGGGAAGAAACGAGAGCGGGAGGGGGAGGGGGAGGGGAAAGAGGAGGAGGACGAGGGGGAGGGAGGAGAGGACGGAGAAGAAGCAGAAGGGCAGTTGACACCGGGGATGGTGCAGATGAAGATGTAGGTGAGGGAGGTGTTAGTGATGATGTTGGTGGTGTTGGTGGTCGTATCATGACTCGTATGAGATCACATGCATTCGTTATATCACCTGATCTAATGAGACCATATCATAACAGATGAGACCAGATGAGACGAGACTGCTTGTGTGTCTTAAGATCAAATCATGTCCACGTCAGTTCAGAGCAGTTCAGAGCAGATCAGACCAGATCAGACCAGATCAAACTAGAACATGTCCACATCAGTTCGGAGCAGATGAGATCACATCTTGCTAGAATTCGTCAATTGCAGTTTGTTGTTTCCAGACCACGTGGGCTGCTTTGATTTACGGTCCCGTGCCTGTGCGGTTTAGTTTCCATTGACGAGGATTGGCCCCGTGCTTACTGCATGTTACTCGCTGATCACGTGGTTTGATTGATCTGGAATGTTGTTGTGGATGTGGACTTGCACTACTGTATTCTAATCTGTGCACGATTGATCAGAATCGTTGTTGTGGATGTCATTTGATTCAGGTCGCCGACCCAAAGACATCGCATGTATGTGGTTGTATTGATTGCCCGGATGGTTGCAGTTCCATTGTTCGTAAAATTCTGGTGTCGCTCTGCGTATGCTGACACCGGTCTCCATTCCATGCAGGTTCAGACCATTGCAAAGTGTGTTTTCATTCGCAGGTGCACGTGACACACATTATTGTTGGCTGTCTGAGCTCCTCCTTTGACCCAGAGCTCTGCCCAACTCTCCCTCGAGGCTGAGCAGTACCACGAGTGCTGGGTGCATGCCCCGGCTACACATTGTATCCAATGTGGTACCCATGACTCTCAGCATCAAGAACCTGTACCCCAGGCAGTCTCAGCCTTCACAGGTGCATTGGGTCCAACCACTATTTCCTGCCTTTTGGAGAGAACATCATTGCAACTTGCTATCCAGTTCTAGCGCCAGAACCTACCTCGATATCCACCTACATTCAAGCCCCGGACCACGAGAAAGGGTGTTGAACATCTCTCTGCCAGCAGCAGTCAAGTGTTTAAGGGAACCAACTATTATCTGTGTGATCACTGGTCCAATTCCACATGGGTCTGTATATGGATCCTGGCCAAAACACTTATCAAACCATGAAATGTTTGGAATGAATGAGGGGCAATCTCAAAGATAAACAACACAGCAGGCAAGCTAAGCAACGTACCAAGTACCGCGTTAGAGTCATCCATACGATACTCATACCACAACTCCCTGAACTGAAGCTTGACAAGTCCTTCTAGGAAGATACATTCAGGAAATTACAATTTGGACTAGAAGGTAATCAAGATCTCGAGACTGAAGCTATCTGATTGCCATTCCATGGAGCTACGGCCCCACCATCATGCAACTGTAGCATTTGACATGGTAATGAGAGGCCCCAAAAGAAAAAGAAAGCCATGTGCAGGAACAAGAAAGTCAAAGTGCCTCTCAATCATAAGAAGGGCATACACACACACACATACACACACACACACACGCACACACACACACACACACACAGATAGATAGAGCGAGAGAGAGAGAAGGAGAATGTGCATCGCAGGGAGGACGCACAGGCTAACATCACCCAGCCACACTGGCCTGCTGTCGTTGTATGCAAGCAAGGGCACAACAGAAACATGGGGCCATTGATAAATTTCTGTCATGCCCGGGGGGAATGCCCCAGAGCGCCTCCAACGGTGACAAGGGCGTGCTAAAAAGATGGATGGTACCGGTAGGGGCATCTCAAAAATTTGCCCGATGGCTTTTAACGGCCATCCGGTAGGGGCATCCCTCAAATTAGGGTCCGGTACCGGTAGGGGCATAACGAAAAGATTTGAGGCCCAAACGACACTGGGGTCTTATGGAAAATTTGAACCCTGATAACGCAAATAATAGGGGCGCCATACAAATTTTTCCTTTTTCTTTTTATTTTTTCCTTTTTCTTTTTTTCTGTTTTTTTCTGTTTTTTTGTTTTTATTTTTCACTGCATTCTCTTGGGTCCAACCAGTCCACCCTAGTAAGAAAAGCCAGCAGCTTAACTCAATTATTCAATCAATTTCGTTTATCAATTCCGTATTAATTAATTAGGTGATTAGTACACTGATTACCACGCCTCACCCTTTTTTTTTTCTTTTTTTTTAACAGTATTTTTTTTTTTTTTTTTAACAGTAAGCGCCTGACCTCGTTGGCTTAGGGACTTGTGTCATGAGTCAGGAAATACGAAAATTGCAAGTCAACGTGTCTTTTTCAAAAAAACATGACTAGATACGTTCACAAATTTCACACTTGGCGAGTAATGAAGTGAGGGTATTAATGATAAAAATTGAAACATGGAACGCTCAATCGCCGACAGTTAAAATAAATAAGCAGAAAATTATAAAAGCGATGAAAGCAATGTATGAATTGCTTTTCATCGCTATAGAAGAAGCGATGTACCTTGGGAGAAGTTAAAAAAAAAAAAAAAAACCTTGGGAGTAGGGAAATGTTGAAATACAGACTGAAGTTCGAATCCACTGGTACACGATGAGTAAAACGAAATATTTCTGCATTGTCTGACGCCGGTCAGCTCCATGAGGCCGTCGTCCTTTTTCTTTTTCAAAAAAAAAAGAAAGGACAAAAAAAGGTTGTACATGGTGAATTTCAAAAAAGAACATAGTTTAGGTACTTTTAAGTTTTAGGTTAAAAAAAAAAAAAAAAAAAAGAGGAAATTGAAAATATTTGTTTTCGGTTTCCAATCATCCACGATAGTCAATGGGCCGCGCTCCACTACTCTCGAGATGCACAAACGACAATAATCACGACCCTGTATCTTTCCATGTTCTAGCGGAAGATTCACTCTCGTTTTGCACATATTGAGAGTAGTCGAGCGAGGCCCAATTTGGAGAATCAGGGCGTACTTTTTATCAAAAAAAAAAAAAAAAAAAAAAAAAGGATCAACGGAAGCAAAGAGAGAGATCGCAGACTCCAAATTACTCATGAAACACGGTAGTGACTATCGTATTCACCCGAATAGAACGTTCTGTGATTCTATCCGTATTTAATGCAATTTCCAGTCTAGATACAAGAGTAATGGTCGGGCATAGCGACAAAAAATATCTATGAAGGCGGGTTTCCAAAATCCCGGAATATCGCAGCCCGTCGTGACATACATACTATAGTAATACATCCAACGATAAGAAACTGTTGTATCTAGACTGGAAATTGCATTAAATACGGGTCGTTAGATACAACAGTAATGACTGGAAACTGCAGTTCGAATCCACTACCACAACCATTGCACCCAAAGAAATCCACACTGGGCGAAGGAACTCAGCCGCACCACTCACCAAACGCACAAAAGACAAAAATAATCGTCGCGTCGTATCTTTCCATATTCGTGAGGAAGATTCATTTCCATTTTTGACATCATTAGGTGATTGGTTCGGCGAGGCCCTCAGCAATCAAAGAGATTTAAATAGACGTGGATTCAAACATAGGCCTCGCACTTAAAGAGTTTAATTCGACGAAAAGTGACGAAAAATACATTTACTCGCCAATGGGATAAAACCGTGATCGCCGCATCATATTCTGAACAACACACACACACACACACACACACACACACACACACACACACACACACACACACAGAGAAAGAGATTGCTTACATGCACACAACTGAAAAAGAGAGAGAGAGAGAAACAGACAGACAGACAAGGACACACACACACACACACACACACACACACACACACACACACACACACAGACATACAAACAGACAGACAGACAGACAGACGGACAAACATACAGAGAGAGAGAGAGAGAGAGAGACAAACTTACAGAGAAAGAGACGGAGAGAGACGACGGAGAGAATCTCGACAATCATTTTTCTATTTTTTCTTAACACTCCAAGCAGAGTTTCTCGCCTGAATTGAGACATACAGGCAAAGCAGACACCTCAACACAGCAACAAAAGCG